ACTAGAAGAGAAGATTAAAAATAAATAAAACGAAAAAAAAAAAACGGAAGGAATAATAAAATGAAGACAAATGTGGAAAGTGTGTGTGTGTGTGGATGCAATACGAGAGAATGTTTTTGTTGCCACACATAAAACCTGTAACTATATTTGAAATATTAAGTTTGGTTTATTCGTTTATTTTAAGAGGTAAAGAATAAACAGTTTTTTAACTTTTAGTGACGGATAAGATCAAACGTGATTTTAACTTTTCTAGTACACTTCATAACGTTTTTTAGGAGCGAAGGCTGAAATGTAGGCAACAGAATCCTTTGAAAATTCATTGTTTGTTCTTTCATTCATGTTTATTAAAAAATTATCAAAGAAATTCTTAAGTAGATTCTGAAGAGTCCATTTGGAAGGCATAAAAATTCAACTCAAGATGTAAAAAAAAAAAAAAAGTGGGAGAGAAGTAAAAAAAAATATATAAAGAGTGGGGGGGTAATTATATGTAGGTTGGAACCCCTGAACCTTTTCATAACATCCTAATCAACTAAATCTCATCTTTCATCATTGAAAAGGAAATAGGGTTCAACAAAGGTGAATATAAAACAAACAAATGCCAGGGCATAATCAACTGGGGGCAAGGGAATAGTAATAAAAAGAGAAAAGGTCAGAGAAAACTTGTTGCAATGAAATTGAAATGGATAGCACTACTAGTAGCTTCCTTCTTTATTTCCTTTTTTTTTGGGGGGGAGAAAAATGGAGGATGTTTTTCCTTAATGTTTTTAAACTGAAAACCTAAACTGGAAATGACTATAAATTATAAATATAATTTATAATCATCCAATATAGATTCAATAATAGTAATACCTTCACATTTAAAATAAAATCACATCACCCAATGAAATGATGTTCAACAGATTGAGAGGTGACATTTGAACATTCTTTATGGCATAGAACTAGAGAAGATACAAAAACAAGATTCATTTACGAACGACATAATTATTCAAACCCTATTTCTACTGGCATGTAAAAAATAAATTATAAAAAGTAAAAAAAACCATTAACAATAAATAAAGATCAAGGTCAAACTTTTGACAAGGTGAATATAGAAAAATTAGCATAAAAATAAAAGCTTTTTTAAGACTGAAAAACTGCTACATTTAAACTAAAAAGTTATACAATCTTTTATTTTCTTATACAAATTACTTCACGTTGTATACTTGAGGAACACTCATGTTCCAATCAATAATTCTAACTACTACTTACTTAAGTTAATTAACTTAATTACTTTCGCAGGAGTTTAAAACCAATGTTTGCTTTGGAAGCATAAGTGGGAGGAAAAAAAATCCAAATCAATGTAGAATAGATATTCCCTTTTTTTTTTTTTTTCGGTAGTTGTCAATTTAGAAATTTTTAAATATGTTTCCTTGAAACATTGCCGTAACCATTTTTTGAAGGGTTTAACAAAGAATGGCTTCAAAATCCGTTAATCAACAAATACTACAGTACACAGTGTCGATACGGTGTCGTAGAGCTTGTAAATTAGTTGACAATGATGCGAGTTATTAATTAAACTTTACAGCAAAAAAAAAAAAAAATTATCTTAAAAAGGCAGTTTTTTTTCTGTTGTATCATTTTTATTTCGAGAATTATTGTCAAAACTCGAAAATATTATTTTGAATGTGAACATAGACCTAAACAAACATCAACATTAAAAAAAAAAAAAAATGAACAGTCAGACAACTACACAAGTTTCCTTTCTTCTTCTATCAAACATTCTTCTTCATATTTTTCCTGTCTATATGTTATTTCCAAACCGAATGAGTTGACACACAGTGAAAGAAGGAGAAAAAAAAACTAGTACTGACGAACTGAGCTGGTCCGTGTGTCTGGCTTTTTGACAACCACAGAGAAACCCTCATTTAGATAGGAAAGAAAAAAAATGACAGGAAGGGCCAACTTAAAGAAAGAATCGCTTAGAAATTCAAGTTGTTGGGAATCTCGAACGAAATGTGAATAAGTACATGTCAAAGTATCCCTTATGTCTACCATTTTTATTAGCTTGTACTCAGTCATGTTTACTGTGTACACAAACCACCACCATCCCTCATAATTAAGTGAAATTTGATCTTATTTTAAATTCAAGAGAAATCGTATAGATACAATATGAACGAATTAATATTCTGTTTTAACTTTGTGTACATTGGCACTTCTTGAAATTGAAAAATGAAATTACGATCCAAAAAGTAAACTTTACAACTGAATTTAAAATTGAACAAAGACCAGATGGCATAAGAATGAAAAATCGTTTTTAAATTTTAAATTATTTATTTACTTTTCATTTTGATGAATCAATGCGATCTGATATGTTTTCAGAATAATGAGGATTTATGTGTGCACGCGCGAGGCCGGTGCGTACTACCTCCAAATCCCCCCCCCCCGACCGAAGCCCGATTAGGGCTGGTGGGAGTGTCACTGGGCAGTGCTTTGTGACTCTTGCTATCTTACCAACATTTACTTTTTTCTACCTAGATTTAAGTTACAAACTAAGCTCAAAAAGATGAAATTTTTTTGCTGATTTTGACGTCATTCTGGGGTCTTGTTTTGCTCATGCTTAGTCTCGAAAGCAACACTAAATCCACTGTTTTTTATCCATAATGTTGAATCTGTTAAAATTATTCAGCTTTTTAACAAGAAAAATCTCAAGTTGATGTTAAAAATTGCCACAAAAGTAAAATATTATTCATTTATTTAAGATGGAATGATATAGAATTTTAATTGTATTTATTTTCAAATTTTCTTGTTGAAAATACATTGTTATATGATCCATTATTGTACATAATTAGCTTAGATTTGTATTTTAACTGAATACTACCTTATGAAAATTGAAATGTAGTAGAGGGGGGGCTGTATCATAGATTGGAGGAGGCATGACACCACTGCACCAGTTCTGTGTGTGTGTGTGTGTGTGTGTGTGTCAATGAGGACAATTTTTGAGATAGTAAAATAAATAAATAAAAATAAAAGAAGAAAGCGAAAGATGGCACTATGGAAAGAAACAACTTGACAGTTGTTATGAGCAGCTAGAACAGATTCCATAATTCTCTGAAAATGACTATCATTTCAATGTCTTTGATATATTTTTATTTTCTTACATAGAACATTACAAAATATTTTGTCCAAATTATCCTCAAACACCTGATAAAGTATGTTACAAAGAACTGTTTGTAACCTTGACATATTTGGGAAGAATATTACTAGAATAATCCAAAACTTATAGTGGGAGCAAATAGCCTTCATATGGATAAAAAATGAATTCAGTAGATATACCAAAATAGGAAGGGACATAAGACAAGGATGTGTCTTCTCACCAGACCTATTCAACCTTTACAGTGCAGCAATCCTGAGCAAATTAGAAGTCCTGCCAGGATTCATTATTGGCAGCCACAATCTTAACAATGTAAGATATGCTGATTACACCATATTGATAGCAGATACAGAAAGGAAACTACAAGAACTCCGATAGAAGGTAGTGAAGGAAAGCAAGAAGAAAGGACTAACCATCAAATTTTGAGAAGATAGAATGTATGGTTCTTAGCAAAGAGAACAGTCAACATGCAAATTACAAATTGGAGATACCAAAATCAAACAAGTAGAATTTAAATATCTAGGAAGTGTTTTAACAGAGGATGAAAAGTGAAATACCAAAATCCAAAGGTATATTGGAATAGTGAAAGATGCCTACCAAAAGGTAAGCAAAGTATTAAGAAACAGGAAAATATCATTAGAAACAAAGAAAAGAGTACTGCTATGTAATATCAGTTTTTTTTCTATATGGGAATGAATGCTGGACAATCTCATCACAGATGAAGAGAACAACATAAATGTGGTTCTACAGAAGAGTGCTGAGAATACCGGGAGCTGAATATGTGAACAATGACAAAGTTTTAGAGAAAATAGAAACGAAAAGAGCACCTAGACTTAACATTAGAAGATACAGTTGATATTTCCAGAGCACATAATAAGGAAAGAGAGTGTGGAAAATTTGACACTCACGTGGCATATTGAAGGCAAGAGGGATAGCAGAAAGCATCATATAATCTACCTAACACACTTGTATAAATGGATGACAAAACAGGGTTTGGAGAGATGATAAGACAACAAAATTTGCTAAGAGCTATAAAAGACAGGAAACTGTGGAGAGCCATGATTGTTAAAATTCTGAAGGGACATAACACACAGAAGAATTGTCAAACCAGAAAAGTCAGAATCATTAAGAGTCTCCAAAGAATTTACTTTTAATAGCACAAGTAATAAACCCAATTATTTTATATAGTTTTTTCCACAGTACCTGAAATATTAGAAGCCTGTTTCCCCAGAATTGATAGGTCACATTTGGGACATTTTCACTTTGATATACACACAAAAGTATATTTATTATTGCCCAACTTTTAATAGTCAGTTTTCATAAAAAATGTTTTCAAATTAATTTTCTATTCCAAATTAAGTATTTATCTTTTAAATAACAACATTTACTAGTTTCACATAAGGACTTGTATTTCAATGTAGTTTTAAATAAAATGTATTTATGAGTGCATTTTAATTGTAGTTTGGATTTGCATGTGATGTTTAATAGTCATTAGAATCAGTAGCCAAAAGGTTTAGTCACAAATCCAACAAAGTTAGATTTGAAAATACACCAAAAACCATTACTCATCCCAATGTTTAATCTAAAATTAGTTGTTGGTTGTTCAATTTGTTTTTTATGGCTTATCAACCCTTTGCAGGTTATTTAAATCCAGGAAATATGTTTACATTGTAAAATTTTTTGAGAGAGAGATAATAATTGTTTAGTAATACAAGTTTTACTAATTAACCCATAGCTAGAATGAAAAGAGGTGGATCCATACCTTTCCTAAGGGTATTTGCATGTAAGTGAATATAACAAATCCAATAGGAATTGGAACTTGTCTCTCTGATTAACAATTCCAAGCCATTATCCACTTGCACATGCAAATTTACAGCACCTGGTATTGCCAAGCAGTTACCCATCTAGGTACTGACCAGGCTCAATGTTGCTTAAGTTCAGTGGTCGTACGGAAACCAGTGTTTCAACGTGATATGGCCATAAGTTCATTCATTAATGTAAGGAACAATTTTTTTAGCAAGTGATAAAGCAGGAAGCAACTTTAATCAAAAGACTGTGTAGAACCAAATTAATAATGAGAAGTATTTAAACAATTTTTTATCATTCATAAATGTTTATATTGAAGTATATAAGACAATAACTGAGAGAAAAGTAAAAAATTTAATTTAGATGAAAATAAACACTATTTGTCTATATTTCTGAGATGAGGTATTATGTACACTATTTACATTATTCGGACTATTGTCCTCATTTTTGTCACCATATTTATCACATATTTCAGCTGTTGTATGCTCTGACCTTCTTCCAGTGGTTGGAATGTCAAACTGAACCCATTATTTTGCTCACTGGGGTAGACTGTTCTAGTTCCACGTGCCATGTCTAATGGATGTCAGTTATCAGTTATCTCCTGTTAATTCCCCTTGGCACAGTGGATAAAGGCGTTAGTTAGATTCAGTGACGGGACCCAAGAGTGTGAGTTCAATACTTGGTTAAGGTGCTGTTAAGGTGTTCTGTTCGACATTCCAACCACCTCAAAGATGAGGACAATAGTACAAATAATGTAAATAGTGAATATAATTTCTGTTCTTGAAAATGACCAATGATGGTTGAAAGTCCTCAACTATATATATATATATATATATATATATATATATATATATATATATATATATATATATATATATATATATATATATATATATATATATATACATACATACATACATAATATATATAATGATTGCCCTCACACACTAGCCATATATTACATGTGGCTCTCCAGATGTAATAGAAATAAGAGAAAAACTGAAAGAATAAGAGTTGAATCAATTTGAATGAAACTGGATTTCCATGTCTTTGTTTATAGGTTTTAAAGCTCAGCTCAAATCTTTTGTGGTATTGTTCTGTTTTGCTTGTAGGGTGAGGATATAGGAGTGGCCCTCTTATCCCAGCCAGACACTGACATGGATATAAATGGTACAAGCAAGTTCCAAGACAGGGTCAGGGACACAGACTGTTGATTCAAGGGTAGGGTGTAAGGAACAACAGACATGCCTAAAAATACTGCTGCAAGATCTTTCCACCAATAGACATGAGACAAATTAACAGATAAAGAAAAATATAATACACAAAAAGAAAGAAATTTTGTTATATCAGCCAAATTCAGAAATAATTTTTTAAATATGTCAGCAGTAAGCTAAGGTAGAAGATAGATATGATGCATTGGATTGGTATAATTTGTTAAACCAACAATTATTAAGATGGAAAATACTGAATAACAAGCATATTTTTTTAGACTTACTAATATCCTTTAAGCAATTATGGACAATCTTGAGCTTTTAAAGTTTACACTATTCCTTGTCATTATGCATTGAATAGACAAAATTGTCATTATTCTAAAATTCTGGTTCATTATCAAGAAATTCTTAAATACTTGATGACAAAGTGCAACCCTGGTTTTTTCTTACTAAAAGTGTCTAGCTTGAACAGCTGGATTCCAGTTAAAAAGTTTTAAAGATTCACAAGATAGCAAAAAATATTCTTATTAATATATTAATATTCTTCTGTTTCTGATTAAGTAAACATTAAGCTTTTTAACTCTTTTACTAAAGAAAAAAAAAATCACTGAATTGCATTGCAACAGCTGTCATATCTTTTCACTTTTTTCTTAAAGAAAATGTCAAAATTGACAGCAGTTTTGTTTATTGATTGAATACATTGATACATTGAAAATAGAAGAAAATAATCAACATTTTTTGCAAATTATACTTTTTAAGGTAAAAATACCATATCAGTAAAATGGAAAAAATGATTGTGAAGTTTATGAACCAGATTTTAGGAATAATAAAACATGTCAAAATTGGAGAAGAAAGTGCTGAATAATGTTCGATATTCGAATAGATATTTTATATTATTTACATTTAGACTAATATCCCCATCTTTGTTATTATCAATTTTTGACCATAGTACCTTCCAACTTTCTTCAGGTGTCTCTCAATACTTAATCTACAGGGAGGTGGGGTAGATTGTTCTCATTCCTTTGTCCAGATCTAGAGGGTATATAGTCTTCTTGTACTGCTTACTTATTGCTTGGCCTGCCTACACCAAATCTGAGTTTGTACTCTCCAGCCCAGGGATTGAACTCAAAATTACTATGCCAATCCATGAGCCTATGCTTTAATTCAATACGCTATTGTCTTGTGGGAAATTCAAAGAGAAACTTGGTCTATCTGTTGAGGTTGACAGAGATCAAATCAAAGCAATTGAGAATAATCAATAATACAACATGGAGATAGCCAATATAATAAAAAGATCCAAATAAAGTGTTGCTTCAGTTTGATTAGATTAGATGCTTTGATATGAAAACTCAACATAAGCCAAGCAAAAAAAAAAACTACTGGAATATATTTCTGTGTGCAATTAACTATTTGATATAATGAAAATGTTCAGATTTTAAATAAATCATGACAGATGCTGTTGTTAAAATTGTTATTATTTAACATTTACCAACAATTATAATAACTGCTATATTTGATGACAATTGGTTTACTCCAATATTCAAGAGCAAAAAAAATACCCCTTTAGTTCATTGCCTCTGACACCAAGCTATGTGGGCAACTCCATGTGTAGTGCTTCCAAGGTTCTCACTGAGTAATGGTAGCTAGAATGAATTTTGATCAACAGGTTACATGAGACTGGACTAGTGGGTGGTGATAGCTACGAAGAGGGCTTCCTAGACTAAAGTTGGTTGGTTGGTTGGTTGGTTGATTTTGTTTAGCAGCATGTCAACCTGTATGGGTTATTTAATGCTGAATTCTAAATATTTTGAATTCAACCAGATAAAAGATATTGTAGGTAATTTTACTATAAAAATGTATTTTCATACTTTCATAGTGTCTTGTTTTAATTTGGGAGTTCACTATTTGCCCATAACTGGGACCCTAACAGGTGGACCTGAAAACAACAATTAAGAGATAGTTCCACGTTCCTCAACACCTCCAATTTTCTGATCAGAGGCTGTGTTGCTCGATGTAGTTTATCATCATACCCAGAATTTCCTAAACTGAAGTCAACAGCCAGGGAAGAAAATTCCCTCAACAGAACTAACAACCACATGTCTGTGACCAAGAATGATCTATAAGTCAAGAGACATCAGCTGTAGTCTGATCTGGAGAGGGATGGGCTCCATCAGGTGTATTTACCAAATACACACTACCCATGAATGAATACCTCAACAACTTTCAACAATGGAGACATGTGGAGGAAGTTGGTCAGGTGCTCATTTGCACAATGACCACACCTGGTTGTTGACTGACAATGATGACAGGTGATATAGAGATTTCATGTTTTTTTTCTTCTTCATTTATATAAGTGAAGAGCTTGAAATCAATACTGAACTATACAGAGCTGCCAACTCCTTCCACCCATTTCATGATTTATTGATAGTACTAAAAGTAAAAGATAAAAATCAACAATTATTTTAACCAACAGATTTTTTTTTATCGTTATTATATTTTTTCTAGTTTTCTTTTTCCTTACTTGACAAACTATACAAGAAAAAAATACTAAAAGTGGTTAATAATGGTTCTAGGAACACTTAATAAATACTGATGCATGTTTATTTTTGTAGTAGAGCAACAAGCTGACATCCAAGAGGTTCAAATGTTAGTGTGGCCAGACATTTGGCTAACGGACATTTCACTGAAAAAGTACAAGTAAAAATAGTAACAAGCAATACAAAAATAAAGTCCCTCAATATGTATTTTGATTGTGTCTCACTTTTGCTACAATTATTTGTCAGTCAGCTGAAACTTACAAATAAGCAATAAAGAACTTTTAATCATATATTTTAAAGTAACAGAAATTACTTCTACATCATTCTGCAATTATAGCTTAAAACAGAAACAGAAATTAGTCCCTCAATTTTTACAGATTAATATTAATTGGTAGAAAAATGTAATTCCATAAATTTTTCCTCTTGCTTTTGATTATAACTCTCTGCTTCAGCCATACAATAAGGATTTGAATATTTGACATAAAAAGTGAAATTAAGATGAAAGAAACGTTATTAAAAACAATAATTGTCAATGCTTCATCTAAGGAAATCAAAATACTAATACTACTAATGTATGTAAATAAAAATAGAAAATTGTCTAAAAATAAAGACTATAGCAATATGGTTAGATTTGAAGGACTGCAGCTGGAACATCTCTTCAGCTTAACTGATAAGGTAGTGTAGTTTGAATGAATAAAGAAAAGGCTGAAGAGACCTTCTGCACCAGTAGCTACCTTGTCAACAGAATGAAGGCACAGTACTGACCTCTACTAGTCATAGAAGTGTCAGTGGGCAATGTAATAGTGGCAGCTCTTGTTGATACTAGCTGCACAACCACCTTACATAATCCCAAGCTTGTGAGGAGGAGGGAGTGTGTGCGGAACTGTGGAAGCAATTAATGGAAGGGAGGTAAAATGTAAAGGAACCCAGAGATAAAAGTAGGCGGAACAAGGATAATACCAGAGGCAATTATTGTTGATTGCATCATCAAAGAGATCAACATTGTTATCAGAATAGACGTGATCAATAAGCTGGGAGGTGTGATTGTAAAAAAATGGTGAGGTGAAGTTTGGAGCGGTACACTGTGCTGCATCTGAACACTTGCAAAATTGAAGACAAGGACTTTACAGCAGATTTCAATGGCAAGAAATTGACTCTGGAATGGAATTGGATAGGAGAGTCTCCAGTATTAAAAAATAAGGTGGAGTACTACAAGAATTCCTTGAAAGAAGAAAAAAGGAGTAGAATTTGAGGAGGTGGAAAGATGGATTACTGAGGGTATTCTCTTGCCATGGAAGGGTGAAGTAAAAGAAGTGTTACTGTTGTTACCATTGATGGCAGTGGTCCAAGCTACAAAAGGAAAAGTCAGGCCAGTATTATACTTTTGGGAGTTGAATCATTATGTAGAGTGCTATACTGGAACTGACA